TTTTCTTTAACTTGGTAAATAACCCTAAAATCCCCAAACCGATAACGATAACAACCTTTATATTCATTGGTCAGAGGTTTGCCGAACTGCCGAGGGTTTTTAACCAAATATTTTTCCACTTTAATCGCAATTTTTCGAGCCATTAAGAAATCTAATTTTTTTAAACCCTGTCGTGCCTTTTTAGTTCAGACCACTTTATACATTATTTAACCGAAGAAGTGGTTAATCCTTTCTTAGGTCTAAGACTTTCCAAGAGTTCTTTGGTAGTATAATGTTTTTTCTCCTTGGCTTTGAGAGCCATATAAAGGTCTTCCACATCCTCTAAATATTGAATTAAGGCTTCTTGGCAAAAAAATTCTTTGCTTTTGCCGGTAGTTTTTTCTAAATGTTCTAATTGTTTTTCTATTTTTTTTGGTAAATTAATGGTTAGGTTTGCCATATTAAGTTATTTTTATAGCCTATTAAAATATTAAGAGTATTAGAACCACCAGATAAAAATTTCGCTAAAATAATATTTATTATGAATACCAAGATATTAATAGACTTAAAAGGTAAACAAATTCCTTGATTTCCTCAAGCGAAGAACCAAACTATTCGAATTCCTTTACAAAAAAAAATAACTAAGTCAGGTGAAAAAAAAGAAGTTGAGCGAGGGGACAAAATAGTTTTTGACAAAATTATCCAACGAGATGAAGAATTTGGTCAGCCTTATTTGCCGATTAAATTAATTGGAGAAGTAATCGAAAACGGACAAAACCCAAAAATATTTGGGATGAAATATAAATCAAAAAAAAAGAACTAAAAGATTTTGGGGTCATCAAGAGCAATACACCGAAATAAAAATAGTAGCAATGGAAAACATTTAAATAGTTATTGTAATAAACCTCAAAAATAACAATATAATCATGCAAGAATTACAACAAAAATCTAATGAATTGTTACAGGAGGAAATTCGGAGAGCAATCCGGGAAAAATTGAGTCGTTTTACCTTTCCTTGTCCTCATTGTCGGGAGGATATTAATGATGAACATTTTGGCAAGGAACAGCGAGCTTTTGGCTATATTAATGAAGTAGTGAGGAAAGTTTTAGAAGAACAAATTATTCCACAATGAGACAGATACAAGGGGTCGATAGTCAAAGAATT